ACATATGCAACTTCTACATATGCAGCGAACACATATGCAACATTTACATATGCATCATCTACATGCAACATAGACCAACGACATAGACCAACGACACATCTACACGTTAGAGTTCTACGTATTTTTGAAACAAATGGAACCCCATAGAAAACACTAAAATGATAGATATGTTTAAAAACCTCTTTCCTCAGAAAGACTTCAGTCCTAAGAACACTAAACTGTAACTTTAATATGATCACGTAAACAGTATATTCCTGTTTAAATTAAAATGTTTGAGCTGTAAGCTGAAAGTTTGTGGATGTTGATTTTTGCTCTCTATTACACGGATGAGGAGGAGGAGGAAGTTTTACTCAAGCAGCTCCTGAAACTGTCAACCTGCTAACTGAAAACATTTGTCTATAGTAAACTAGACAATATAGCCTACTTATTAACTTACATTTTTATTGAGATTTTTGCAGACAACCAGATTTTGACAACCTGTTGTCCTGTGACACCACGGTTAAAAAAAATCCTAGGGGAAACCCTGTATATATAATTTTGTATAAAGTATATAAATTTATTTGCATTTTGCAGAGAGAAATAAAAATTTGATCCCCTTGGTAAACAAGACCTAAGACTGGTGGAAAAACCCTTGTTGATAAGCACAGCAGTTTTTATAGTTGATGATGCTGTTTGCACACATGTCAGGAGGAATTTTGGTCCATTTCTCTTTGCTGATCATCTCTAAATCATTAAGATTTTGAGGCTGTAGCTTGTCAACTTGGAGTTTCAGCTCCCGCTGTAGGTTTTCAATGAGATTTAGGTCTGGAGACTTGCTAGACCACTCCATGACTTTAATGTGCTTCTTTTTGAGCCACTCATTTGTTGTCTTGGCTGTATGTTTTGGGTCATTGTCGTGCTGGAAGACCCAGCCACGACCCATCCTGGTAGAGGGAATTTTATCTCCCATTGATACGGTGAAGTAGTCTTGTGCCCTTAGCAGAGAAACATCTCAAAAACATAATGTTTCCACTTCCACACTTGACAGTGGAGACGGTGTTCTTTGGGTCATGGTCAGCATTTCTCTTCCTCCAATCATGGCGAGTTGAGTTAATGCCAAAGAGCTAAATTTTTGTCTCATCTGATCACAGAACCTTCTCCCAATCACTCTCAGAATCATCCAGGTGTTCATTGACAAACTTCAGATGGGCCTGAACATGTGCCTTCTTGAGCAGGGGGAGCTTGCGGGCACTGCAGGATTTTAATCCATTATGGTGTAATGGGTTACCAATGGTTTTCTTGGTGACTGTGGTCCCAGCTGCCTTCAGATTATAACAAGGTGTTTTGTTGTGGAGAGTTGTTTTGCTTTACCTCAGTTGGTGGCTAAGATACACAAGCCTTTGACCCCGTGGGTCCAGGCACCCTTTCTGTTTATGGTAGTTGGGGGTTAGGTCATTTTGCCCCCCAGGATTCAAGGTGATTAATTCTCCTATTTTTCTTTCAGGTTCCTCCATCCATTCTAGGTTCTTATTTTACTTAATAAATCATTTACCTTTGCCCTCCTGAGTTATAACCCTTCATTGCCTGGTTTCCTTTATTTGCTGCATCCCCCCACAGGAGAACGTAACACTATTCAAACAACATATTTGAGATATCTCTAGTTACATTTTTACTAGTATGATGTCTTTTTTTTATAATTAAGTTGTATCTGCATCTGCAATAAATTACTATCTGGAACATACAGTACAAAAATCAACAGTTTAATAAGGACATCATAAAGTAAATTTGGGATACGTCTCTTTCTGTTCTGACTAGTTGTACTTGTAATTACAGAGATTTTAAATGACATCAGGTTTGTAGATAGTATATATTGGTGTTCTTAGCAGTTTTTCAGACATTTGTATTATTCATATTGATATGAAATCATGTATTAACAGAAATGAGGAGTTCTGTCATTATATAAATTATTGCTACATTGAAAACACAATGGAGGAAAATCAGGTCACTGTTGCATCTTGTAAAAATAAAAAGTTTAAAAAACAAAATCTAAAAATGAGATTGAAATAACGAAACAGTTCTGTGTTCAGTGACCTCTGTCTTTTTTAGGAATAGTCACTGGTGTCTTTCTGGTAATGCATTTAACTGATCGTTTTATTTCTGTGTGGTGTCTGCTTTTATTCAACTATAGGAGAGCGTAAGGATATAATCATCGCCGAACTGCAGGAGCAGCTCAGAGATGTGATGTTTTATCTGGAAGCACAGCAGAAAATTGAGCAGCTGTCATCTGAGTCTCGCAGTGAGATCCAGGAGGGACAGATCAGCATCCTGAGTGGCCCATCAGATGATGCTCTGGACTCAGCAGGGGCAGGCCCCTCCACAAGCCGTGGGAGGAGAGGCCGGGGCAGGAAGAGGAAGTAGGCAGCACTTCGAACCATCTGTCAACCTGGACATGAGATTTACAGCTTATTCCTGTTGTTTTCTGAACTATTGAAGGCATCATTGTGGTTCCTCAGGAATATTGAAGTAGGAAGATTCATGCTCATTCAGAAAAACACAGTCTTTTTAACACCTCTAATGAATGAAATAAGTGCATTTGTAAGATATTTTCAGTTAATAAAAATGTTTGAGTCTGTTCATTCCAGACTTTTTTTTATAAAGGTAGCTTACTTAATCACTTATGTCAAGTTAATATCACATACTTGTAACTTAATATTAAAGTCAGTTTGTATTTATGATTTATCAAAATCTAAATGTGCAACTATTTCTTTTTCCTAGATAAATTTTAAGGTTTTAGAGCCAATTTTATTTTTGTCTTTGTAAAAAAAACTAAAGGTCCCTACGTACAGTACTCCATCCGAAACCAAGCAGTTGATGCGCAGTCATGAGGTCAGACATTTGTTTTTGCAAACACCTTTCAAAGCCCCTGAGATACACTGCACCAAGCTCCTTGTGTACCTGCAAATTTGTCACTTTTCTGCAAAATTTGTTGATTTCAAAACAAAATGTGTCACATTCGTGAATCACTTCGATCCGAAGTTTTTCTTTCGTGGGGGTCCAGAAGCGCTGGATTTGGTACATTTTCCCAAGCACTTGTTTCAGAAACAAGGTGGTTGTCTTCACAATAGAAGATCTTTGGTGGAGCGCAAGTTATTTGGCCATTCGCAATCAAGATAGACATCCATCTTCATTGTGATTGGCCAAATGACTAGTGTCTGAGGAGGGGGGGATCTTCACCTTGTTTTTCACAGGCTTACCACAACAGCAGGGCTGAAGTAAGGTACAGTAGTAAATCTATGTTGGCTTTAAAGAGCAACTACTCAGTTTTCAAAATCTGTCCGAATTTTTCAGATTGCGCAAATTATTGTAAAATTACGGTAAACAATGCAGGAGCTTGAAAAAACTGTCTTCTGCAACAGACCCGGCGACTGTCGCAACACTTGTAAAACGTATTAACACTTGGTTTTGTTGAAGTTCAGGTAAGATGAGTTGTGTTATTGCGTGTGTGTTGGTAGGGGTAATTTAAATGTCAAAAAAGTTCCAGGAAACAGGAGACATTTAATCTTTAGTAGCTGAGAGTTTTGGATTTTGCTGTTTTATTTTTGAAAACAAGATTTCAGCTCTGACCTTTTTTTTTTTCATTACTTTAACATGCTTTATGTTTTTCACTACCAGAAGTTTCACTGCTCATAGAGAACCACTAAATAAAACATGTAAGGAGTGGAACAAGTTGTATGTATAGTTGGTCTGTTGGTTGATTTATCTCTGTTTTGTTACAAACTGATGTTCAGTGTGTGGAATAAAAAAGAGTGGTACAATTTTCATGTAGGATCTCAAATGAAGTTCACCTCAAAGACTAGATGTAAATCACTGCTCTATCTTTGAATAAATATATTTTTAAATGATGTTTTTACTCCTAAGTATTTAGAACAGTTCACTTCAAATGGCTGGAATTTACATAGAGCACTCCCAACATACAGGTGCTGGTCATAAAATTAGAATATCTTGAAAAAGTAGATTTATTTCAGTAATTCCATTTAAAAAGTGAAACTTGTATATTAAATTCATACATTACATACAAACTCATATATTTCAAATGTTTATTTCGTTTAATTTTGATGATTACAAATGACAACAAATGAAAATCTCAA